CAGCTAACTCACCAGGAGATTTGGCAAAGTCAGTGCCTATGGAAGCGCCCAGCAGCATTGAAAACGCAGCGTGTGCTTGCCGCTACTGGTGCTGCAGAAACTCTACCACCAACAGAGGACGAACAGCAGCTCTGGCTGGAGTGCACTGTGGGTGCCAGGGCCTGATGTGCCACAGAAAACAAAGCAAAACACTGCCCAGTCTTGCGCTACCTCCACTTGTCTGTCTCTTTGTCGTGCTGTGGTGGCTTGTGTGTGGCTCTCATGCTGGAGACTGTCACCGTATTTCAAAGGCCAGCGGGGTCACCCAAAGTGAAGAGGTTTCAGCAGAACTTCCAGACTAAAACAGACTACAGACTACGACCATGGGACAGGCTACCCACTTTGGAGGAATGAGCCATAGAAAACCTCCAGAGGGCATTGACACATTGTCAGATACTGAAGGAGCGCATCAGGAGTGTCTGAAAGTCAAGCCGTCCGAGATCAGAAGAACTAAATGGTGCCCGACTACTACTACTGGTCCTTCTGATTGGGATCACAACAGAAGGCCCTATAAGCAGAGAGGGAGGAAAAGCTAGAGCAAAATTCAGATTCATAGCACAGTCCACACTTATTGGTCTGAGAATGTGAGGGATTATATTCTGGCGTGTGGCATCTGTCACCACATTGATTGCCAGGGTTGATTCCACTGATCTGGCTGGCTAAGTGGGTGTCCCCTTCCTCCCTCACCACTCCATGTTCATCCCTCCTGAAGCTGTGGGCTCCTCTTGAACAGGATGCCCTTCTCTGATGGGAGGAGGACCATCTTTCAGTCAAGGGTATACGAGTCGCTGCGCTTCCCTGCTAGAACCTCCGAACAAACTCTCAAATGTACTGGTCTGATAGAGACTGGTAGAATCCTTGAAACTACAGCACTTAGAAAAGTCACCCTCCAAAGCCAGAGCTGAATACGCTCCTTGGATCACCTTCAGACAAACAAGAGAGCTACAACGACAACCACCAACCTATGTGGGGAGCTACTCCTCAAACCATCAACCTCGGAGCCCACAAAGGCAGCCTTTGTCTGAAAGCAACATTTGGAAGGCAAGAAGGGTTTAGGAAAGAAGGACCAATAGAAACAGGGAGCCCAGGGAGGGCGTGGAGAAGGTGCTGTTACATTGAGGGAATTGCAACTAATGTCGACAGTGGACGTGTGTTTAAATTGCTGAATGGGAAAGAAAGAGAAAACTAGCCTCATAGGCATATCGATCCTTGTAAGCTGGTCTAAGAAACACGTTTACATGGTTACAAATAAATGTAAAAATTTTTTTTAAAGAAAAAAATTAACTCTTTGTTCTGAAACACTGCACAGAAAATGTATAGACAGTCGTGATGGTATCACCTCACACTGAGAGTGTCACGGGGAGGTCATCGCCTCACCGCTCCTGCCCACCCCCCCACCCCTCCACCACCCCCACCCCGGCCCTCGAGTAAGGAGGCCACTGGGGGTGGCCTTCTCTCTCCCACAACCAGCCCAGCACACTCACTGTCGGTAGTTGTAGGCAATGTCCGCAAACTGCTTCCTTCTGGCTCTGTACACGGGGTCTTTAAAGCCCTAGGAGAAAAGAGACACTTGATTCCTGGAGGCTGTTGTGGGGAGAGGATGAGGGCGTCTATGAATGCCAGGACTGGGCTTCGTGAAACCCAACACCGCACCTCTCCCGCATCTGATCTCTTGCCGTCTAGTCCGCTCTGACTCCGGGTATCCCCCTGTACGTGAGGGGAGGGCTCCATGGGTTTCATAGTTGGTATGATGGAAGGCGATCACCAGAGCCTTCTTCTGAGACACCTCTGGGTGGAGTTGGATCCCTAATCTTTCAATTATTAGCCAAGCCATTTAACTAATTGTACTGCCCTGGCCCACTAGTATCTTTATGCCTGGATCATACAGTCCAGGTGTAAGGGCCGCCACCCATTGTCATCAAGTTGATTATGACTCATAGAAACCCTATATAGGGTTTCTGAGACTGTAAATCTGTATAGATATGGTCAGCCTTGTCCTTCTCGCATGTTTCAACCGTGTGTGTGTGTGTGTGTGTGTGTGTGTGTGTGTGTGTGTGTGTGTAGCTAGACAAGCAGGCACATGGCTATAGCTATTGCCATTTTTTTTTTTAAATAGAGAGACTGCTATTGTTTGCCAGCCTGTGCTAGGAATCTGGGAACTGATTCCTGAAAACTGAAAGCTGCTGTTGGGTCCCACTAGGTCAGTAGTTCAGAAACCGCTAGCTGCTCCGCTGGGGAAAGAGGTGGCTTTCCACTCCAGTAAAGGTTACGGTCTCAGAACCCCACAGGGGCAGTTCGGACCTGTCCTCTAGGGTACTAGGCGTTGGAATCATCCCCGTGGCAGTGAATTCTACTGGTGTGAAGGGCCATGAAAGTACAGGGTTGGGGGATGATGTAGTAAGAAAGAAAGGCAGCATTTTGTAAATGCTCAAACCGGCCTAACATTTTGGAAACGGCTACTGAACTAACCAAGGGGTATTTCTTTTGGCATGTGTCTAGTCACATGTGCAGTGTATAAGTAGGCAGTAGGTAAGGCTTGGCTGTTACAGTTATCCCCAGCTACCAATCTTTTTTTTTTTTAACACTCAATAGAGACTGGTTGGGGACCCCTGATGGCATATAGGTTAGGCTCTGGGGACATACGCAGCAGTTCTAGGGTGGGGAGGGGGTGTGGAGAGGAGGGGACGATTGACTGGCGCCTACAGAGATCAAAGCCTAGACAACTGGATGTGGCAGTTGGACCCTGTCACACAGGTTGCTCTGAGTTGTCATACCGTTGCATCTAACAGTGACAGTAAATAGAACATACATACTTCTGCATCCAAAAGGCACCTTGGAAAATGCTTGGTGTCATGTTTTAATCGAGAACAAGAACAGGGAGTCCACAGGCCCAACCACCCAGGGCCCTTCAGGGCAGAGTAAACACCTCCAGCCAGCTGGTCCGGCTCTACCCCAAATGGTGAGTTGAGGATTGAGTCAGGAAATCAGGGGAGACAAAAACAGAATTCCCCCTAGTCAGTGGATTTCCACTTCATTATCCTGTTTCCAGGAATGGGGTATCCATGATCATTTCTCTTCTCCATTGAGTCTCTGACATTTAATGCTTAATGTGCCTTGTGTAGGTAGGTTATGCAGGACTGTAAATGTACTCTAATACATATGCTTCAAAAAGTTAATTGGAAAAATGAAATGAACAGATAATGAAATATTTCCATGAACTTTTTGAAGCTCGTGTGTGTGTGTGTGTGTGTGTGATTTCTAGGTGCTGTCAAGTGTGTTACAATATATAATACCCTATTTACAGCCGAATGAAACACTATCAGGTCCTGTACCATCCTCACAAGCACTGCTATTTCTGAACCCATTGTTGTAACCACTGTATCAACACATCATCACAGCTCATTGAGATACATTAGTAACTATATATGTATATAGTTGCTAATATATATATAGTTACTAAAATATACAAATATTATATGTAAAATGATGGAAGGGATACACCAAACTGTAACAAATGGTATCACTACATCATGGTAAAGTGAGTGACTATTTTTTTCCCCTACTATTTCTGATTTTGAGGTTTTCTGGTTGTCTCCAAAATCATTTAGGGAAAGAGGTAGAAAATTAACACATTAAGAAACACTCTCTCTCACACATATATATCAATATATTACACCGATTTTCCACATGGAGAGGTTTCTAACCAGGATCTTTTCCAGCTTTAAATTTCTAAGAAGGACATTATTATCTTTTAGGAAGCTCACACCCCAACAACCAAATTTCAGGGAATGCTCCTCTCTTGGTCACTAGGAAGCAAATCAAGGCCCTATCTTGGGGGCTTGGCATCTCTACCCTTTGAGCTGCCAGATGCCCACAGGGCTTCTGTGGGCAAGTGGGATGCAGCTTCCTGTATAACCACACACTGAAACAGCATGCACACAGGAGACTAACACATCAGGGCTTGCGTGGTTTGCACCAAAAAAACAAAAAAGAAATGTAGAGTACGTGTATTATTTGAGTACAAATTTGGTAAGCTACAGTTGGTGAATGACTCATCACCCTGCCTCCATTTAGACTAATAGCAGCAATTTTGGTAGCACTGCATGTAATTTATTTATAATCACCTTATCTCAATTAAGCTAATAGCAGCAATTTTGGTTGCCCAGCATGTAACCAAGTATGTTTTGACAGGAAAATCTACCGTTGGTGACACATGATGGAGAGGGAGGGATGAGAAAAGGCAGAGCCATTTCCACAGGATGCAAGGTTACCGTGGCACCTGAAATCTACACACAATCCCTTTTCTCAATCTTGAGGGCTTCATTATTTGGAAAACAGCAGAGATATCAAAGAGTGGGCCTTTGTTTTTTGTGGAAGTTTTAGTGAGAGATAGCATGGGAAAGTCTTTGCAGAGTCTCCTAGGCTGTGATATTTATTCCATCCTTTCCTGACATCAGGGCTGAGGTTAAACCTAAGAAATGCCATCGTTAGCCCAAGAAGAAGAAGAACACAGATCGAGAGTCCAACTGGCTGGGTGAAAAAACACACCCATTCATTTGTAAAGAGCAATTTCACCTCTCACAGCCCTTGTTTCCTCAACCAATAAGTTGAGGTGGTTAATCATACCTCCTTCACAGTGCCATGTGGTTGGATTAGAAAAGGCATCAGGCGAAAGCCTGGGTGCATGGCAAGCACTCAAAAAATATCACATTTATGAGAAATGGTGGGAAATCCAGAAGCTAGGGAGTTGATTCAGTGTGCACGCTGAGCTCCAGCATTTACTCTCAGGCTTTGGAAGAAGGATCTGTAGCATGCTTGCCTTGCTATTTACATTTCATCTAAGCCAGAAATAAGCTTATTGGATCCTATGCCAACCACTTGGGGTGGGCTGGTCTAAAGGGGGCCAGTGCTTTAAACTGGTATCATCAAATACCTGCCATTGAATCCCTTAGACACTGGTGAAAGACGTGCAAGTCCATTGAGTGGAAGAGTGCCGACAGCCACTCAAATCCACCAGCTGATCCATGAGAGAAAGATGAAACCATCTACACCCATAGAAATCGACCATCTCATAAACCCAAAGGAATAGTGCTACTCTGCCAAGAGGAGCAGACCTCAAGCAGTGGGGGGGTTGATTGATCCTTGAGGAATTTACCGGAGGGCAGGACCACTCAACCCTTATAACTTAGAAGACAGAAAAGCCACTTGGGAGGCTTGGATCAAGAAGTAGAAATAAACACAGAAGACCAGTTATGTCTGTTCATATTTCACCTGCCAAAATCCACCCCACACCCTCCAAAAGACTCTGGCGGCAAAGTGCAGATCTTCAATCTCGACATAGCTGCAGGAGGCCCACAGACTGTAACAGGGAGCTAGCTCTGCGATTCGGGTATGTGTAGGAGAAGCTACTCAATGCTCCCCAAGATCCGTCTTCTCCTTTCTTCCAGATTGCATCAGTAAACTACTTTCCCCCATCTCTGTTACACTTAGGTACACACTCAGTCGTGTGACTGAGTTCTAGCCAATAGAATCTGAGTGATGGAATATGAGTCATCTCTAGACCTGGGCCATAAGAATCTCTCAAGAACACTCCTCACCTCTCCCCAGAGGAGTCCCTGGGTGGCACAAGTCACAAAGGCAAAGAATGACAGATTTAACCCATACCAAAATCCTTGGGAGGGCAACAGCTCGACTTGGTACACATGGGGATAGACCATGAGTCAAAATCAACTCAATAGCAACCGACAGCAACCTTTCTCATGTCCTGGCAGAATGGAATAGACTCCCAGGACATGGAGAAGGGCGGAGAGGGCAGTAGGAGACTTGCTCGCTGACTGTGTGGAGCCAAGCATTTGTTCCCTTTAGCCACACTAGAAATAAACATTTATTGTGATGAGCCATGGAGATTGAAGGGTTGGTTTCCCTGGGTGGAGCAAGCAGTTTTCTATCAGCTGCTAACCTAATGGTTAGTGGTTCAAAACCACCTAATGGCACCACAGAATAAAACCCTAGCTTCTAGGAAGATTGCAGGGAAGAAAACTCTATGAAGTAGCTGTACTTGGTAACATAAGGAATAACCGTGAATTGGAATCCACTCAATGGCAATGGGTTTGGCTTGGTTATTAAGAAGCAGCTTTTCCACCGATTTCCACTCAGATCTCCCTCTTTCAAGAAACTTTCCTTACACATCCAGTCCCCGTGGCCTCTCCATCTTCAGAACTGACAGCACCAGTTGTCTGACTTATTAAATTTGGTGTCTAATGATGCACTTTTCTGAGTTATGATTCCACTAAATATACCGTATATACTTGTGTATAAGCCGAGTTTTTCAGCACATATTTAATGCCGTTTTTGTGGTAAAATTTAGGTGCCTCAGATGATATTCGGAGCGACTTTTACTTGAGTATATACGGTAACCCAAAGTGTGTTTCTTGGAATGCTGCCATTAACAATAGTGTCCCAGTTCTTCCATTAAAAACAAAGAAGGCTCCTTACGAGTTTTGTAAATGCACCTTTTGTACAGGTGTGGAGCTTATTGACAGCAACTACAAA